CGTTATCCTTATCAAAGACAACTGCGAATAATTCAACTTGTGAGTTGATGGCATTTGAGAATAGAAACACATGGTGTGCACTGTGTGGTGTTTCTGGTTTTGGTGTTTCTGGTTTTGCAAGTTACTTTAGTGGTGCTCATAGTTTTCATGTCAACTGTCAAGTGACAATACTGCATACTACATTATTGTTTGTTATTATAAGAGAAACTCGGAAATGTTAATGGTCATAATTAATTTGTCTTGTTTGTTTTAATTGAACTATGGGTCTTGTCGTATATTCACATCGCCTTACATGAAAATGGGATATTTATCTAACTAGTTTCAGGTCTTATTACATATTGTCATTCCCGTTTTATATGTATAAGAAAATAGTTTTCTTCATCCATGTATATGATTCTTCCTTCTATCAGTGCTTTTACAATTGGAATGGATGGCAAGTCCATGGGTGTTGAAGTTTAATAATTTAAAAAAGTGTGCTCAGAAATATTGGTAAATGATTCAGCTTGTTTACATATTAATTTTATAATTATAATTTTTTATTAACCTAGTTTAGAATTTTAGACCCAAAAAAATCCATTAATAAAGATGACAAACTGAAAAAAATGATGGAAAAATTGGTAGATCTTTCCTGATATGAAGTTCTGGAGAAACGTGTGAAGGAGAGACAAATGTTGTAAGGCTCGAACTAACCAGTTGGCGAACTCTTATTGATTTGTATAAGGATTAGTGATAATTAGAGCTCAAACAACAGTTTAACAAACAAAACTATAATTCAACGATCATAAAAAATGACGTAGTCAATTCGAATCTCTCCTAGTCGCGGACCAACTGCCATTCCGAATTTACCATCTGATCAACTCGAGGGTGAAGGTATTTTCTTTCTTTTTTTGTGTGATCAACTTTGACCTCAATTGGGCTCTTAGTTGTTTTGCAACTGAGTTCAGAGTTATATTGAACTTGATGTATGTTACATTTTCCATAATTATATTTATTTTATTTAATTTCGTATGACCAGGTTCGAGTTTGGTATCAATTAAACCTGGATCGAATTTTGACCTACTCGGGAACAATATAATTCAATTCATTTACTAACAGTGTAACACTCCTAATGTCTACTAAGTCAATGGAGGATCTTGCATGTTGGAGCAGAGAAACTTGTAGTAACTGGAGTTGATGCCAGGCTATGGCCAAGAAAAAAGGATCTTTGATCAGTCTGTAACTAGTCCACTTCTTCAACTAAGTGGCTGCGAAAATTGAAAACTTGTAACTGAATCAGAGAGCAATCAAAAAGCCATCAGTATGATGAGGATAGACTCATTCAGAGTTTGTGTAATCCTATCTCCAAGGAGGGCCTGGCAGCTGGATTACGAAAAGTTTCTATGCCTACCAAAATAAGCAAAAACACAACTCATCAGCACCTAATTTTCTGGGAAATTTACTTATATATATCTCAAAAAATTGAAGAAAAATAAAATAGACCTGGGGTTTTTATTGTAGTCAAAACTAATCGTTTCGCGGTTTAGAAACGCGAAAAATGAAGAAATCGTGTTTAAAATGCTAAAATACAAAATTCGCATTTTTAAAATGCAAACTAAAAAAAATACGTATTTTTATTTAAAAAAGGGAAAATACTCACACTAAAGAAGAATTCCAAGTAAAGATGAGTCGCGTTTTCAAAACGCGACCAAAGCCAAAAAAAAAAAAATGAATGGAGGTTGGTCTACAGTATCTATATATAGGCAACATATAAACCTTGGTTTCCACTATTTTGTGGCAGTATTCGGCGTATTTCATCTTGTGGCAAACCACTGATTTGTCATCCTTGATGCCATTCAACTTCTGGACATCCACAATTTGGTAATTTTGAGATGATTCTGTATCGGGTTTCTGAACCTCTGTTGAAACCGCCTCGATTTTTTGACCCAATTTGGTTGTGATAAAATCCACCATGGATTCCAGCGAAGTGGCATAGTACTTCTCCTCGCCGTCGATTCCGGGATCCTCGCATTCCTTGATGGTGTTCTTCACTGCCTCCGCCGAGACCGAATCGGGTCTGAGATGATGAGAAGAAAAGGAAAATTTTAAAATTAGCCCAAAACCCCACATGAAATGCGAATAGGAAGAAAAAATTTATCCCCCACATGACCGCGCTTCAAAAGCGCGAATCCCCTCTTTCGTCTTTCGCGCAATAATTCGCGTTTTAAAAACGCTTGTTAAGCAAAAAAAAAAAAAAAAAAAACAGGAAAAAGGTGTCAGAGGGTTTCAAACCTGGCACCTCTCTAATCTACGAGGTACCATTTAAGCCGGAACTGCACATCTAATAATTGAAGCTATTTAACAATTATATTACAAAATTTATTATTTTTATATATGTATTAATTAGTTTTACTTAAACGGAATCTATTATTGATCAAATTTTACTTTTTACATACGTAATACTTAGTTTTACTCAAACGAAATTTTTTATTGATCAAATTTGAACTTTTTTTATACGTGCTACTTAGTTTTACTTAAATAAAATTTGTTATTGATCAAATTTGAACTTTTTACATATGCACTACTTAGTTTTACTTAAAGGGAATCTGTTATTGATCAAATTTATACTTTTTACATATGTACTACTTAGCTTTACTTAAATAGAATCTGTTATTGATCAAATTTGAACTTTTTACACAAAGTACTACTTAGTTTTACTTAACTAAAATCTGTTATTGATCAAATTTGAACTTTTTACATACGTATTTCTTAGTTTTACTTAAACGGGATCTGTTATTGATCAAATTATACTTTTTACACACGTACTACTTAGATTTACTTAAACAGAATCTGTTATTGATCAAATTTATACTTTTTACATATGTACTACTTAGCTTTACTTAAATAGAATTTGTTATTGATCAAATTTGAACTTTTTTACACAAAGTACTACTCAGTTTTACTTAACTAAAATATGTTATTGATCAAATTTGAACTTTTTACATACGTATTTCTTAGTTTTACTTAAACGGGATCTGTTATTGATCAAATTTATACTTTTTACACATGTACTACTTAGCTTTACTTAAATAGAATCTGTTATTAATCAAATTTGAACTTTTTTACACAAAGTACTACTTAGTTTTACTTAACTAAAATCTGTTATTGATCAAATTTGAACTTTTTACATACGTATTTCTTAGTTTTACTTAAACGGGATCTGTTATTGATTAAATTATATTTTTTACACACGTACTACTTAGTTTTACTTAAACAAAATCTGTTATTGATCAAATTTATACTTTTTACATACGTACTACTTAGTTTTACTTAAAGAAAATCTGTTATTGATCAAATTTGAACTTTTTACACACGTACTACTTAATTTTACTTAAAGAAAATCTATTATTGATCAAATTTAAACTTTTTACATACGTACTACTTAGTTTTATTTAAACGAAATCTGTTATTAATAACATTTGTACTTTTTACATACGTATTACTTAGTTTTACATAATGGAATCTGTTATTGATTAAATTATGTACTTTTTGCATATGTACTACTTAGTTTTAATTAAAAAGAATCTGTTATATAAGATCAAATTTGTACTTTTTAAATAAGAAAATTTTACTGTAGCGGTCAAAGAAAAATATTATAAATGATGTAAAATCTACAAATTAAAATATTAAATCTACAAATTTAAAATATAATATAATAAATGATGTAATTGATATTTAAAAATATCAATAATGATAAATGATGTAATTTTAAGAATTTATATAATTAGATGTAATTCAATTTACAAATTGCTTATATTAATTATGATGGTTTACAAATAAGAAAAACACTTGAAATACTATTTGGGATAAAATTGAAATAGAAAAATTATTATTAAGGGTGTAATTGAAAGAAATTTCAATCTTACGTGGTTCAAAGAAGAAAAAAAATTAAAGGGTGTCATAATCTGAAATATTAGGTTGCCGAATTTGTAAAAATAAACCCAAAACCCGAAACCCAACCCATTCCAAAATCCAAACCACCCCAAAACCTTAACCCACCATGAAACCCAAAACCCAATGCCCACCCCGAAACCCAACCCCTCTAAACCCAACGCTCCTGAAGCCCAATTATTCCACCCCAAAACACTTCCGGGAAACCCAACCACTCTAAACCCAAACTACCCCAAAACCTTAACCCACCATTAAACCAAAACTCAAAGACCACCCCGAAACCCAACCCCCTTGAAACTCAAAATATTCTCTTTAAAATATAGAGCTTCACGCTTCAGAAACACTATTGAAACTTTTCGCGTTTTCAAATCGCGAACCATTATTTTCCCTTTTGATTCCAGTTTTTTTTTCTTTATTTTCTTCCGGATCAACTTTTTCAAAAATTAATTAACAAGTTTCGTGTTTTGCAAACGCGAGAATACGTTATTTCGCGTGTATAAAGCGCAAAAAAATTAGAAATGTCTAATTATGATATTCTAGACATATTCTCTTCCACCCCTTTTAATCTGAGCCACCCTAAAGTCTAGCACCCCTAATTTTCTAAGTGGTAAGGATGGATTCTTCCGCATTTGTCCATATCTTGCGTTGAGATATAGCTAGCAAATCAATATTTTTATTATTGTAGTCTAAAAATAACAATAAATGTAAACAAAAGCCCTTACAACTGATTATTCCCCCAAGAAAAGATTAAAGCTCTTACAACTGATGACAATTAACAAAAATTTAGAGTATTGAAATACAAGTTTTATTTATATTTGTGCTTTCTAACCATCCTGGAATTGGAGGAGCACACAATCTCTCCATATTAATTATACGACAAACCAAAACAAGTTTTTAATTTGTCTCAAAAAGATAAAGAAACAACAAGCAACCTAACTGAATACTCCCTCCGTCTCCCAAAAGCAGTCTAATCTATTATACTCTTTAGTTCAACAAACTCAATTCTTATTTTGAGACGGATGAAAAATTTAATTAATCAAAAAAAACATGTAGCCCTTGAATGATCATAATTATCATGTCATCTGAATCTGCGACTTACTTCCAAGTTCAAGATCATTTGTAGCAAACCTTGTGCTATCCAATCTTTCACCTTGACCCCAAATAGCATAAGCTTCTTCACCATGGGCAGCTTCATCACCAACTTCCATATCTTCCTCCGACATTCTAAGTGGAACAAAGACTTGGATCAAGAGACATATTAAGCTTGTCATCACAACATTGAGCACAACCACAAACAACACTCCAAGAAGCTGAAGTCCTATTTGTCTAAACCCGCGGCGAAAGTCCCCGAGGTGGAAACCATAGAAAAGTCCCAAGTAGTCTGCATACTTTCCGTAGAATATGTTGCACAGATTTGGTTCCGCAAAAAGACCGGTGAGGATTCCTCCGAGGCTCCCGGCAATGGCGTGTGTGTGGAAAACAGCCATTGTGTCATCGACCCTTTGAAGTAACTCGGATTTCTTGTGTACTACCATCATGGTGAACCAAGGGATTCCTCCCGAGCAAATTCCCATTAGTATTGCTGCCCATCCTTGAACAACACCTACAAAAAAAAAAAAAAAAGGAAATGCCCCAACCAGTACTTAAGGGAGCTAGCTTCATAAAATGATGAGGAAATATTCTCAACATTTAAGGGGTTCAATCAAGGCTGGTTATTGTGTAATTTTTCACGCGATCAAATTGTATTACATATAATTTTTATTTTTATTTTTTACTTGTGACAATTTTGCTCGATGGATTAACATCATTATCTTCTTTTTTTTTTTTTTTTGGCTCACGGACTAAAGTCTTATTTGATAAAAATCAGGTTTTCAGTTTTATTGCTGAACGTTGACATCATCAAGCCATGTTAATGGCTCTGTTTGGTTAGTTTTTTAATAGGTTTTTTTCAGAATTAATTATTATTAATTTCTCATCTTACCATACGTTTTTTCATTTCTAATATACTTTTTTATATTTCTAAGAGAAAAAATGCCTAAAAATACATACTAAAAAATGATCCAAACATACAACCTAAGAAACTAGTTTATTTGTTATCGAACACTTTGAAACCATTTGAGTTCTTACCCAATAAACTAACAAAAAAAAAGAAAAAAAAAAGAGCCACACAAATTGTTAGCAAGAAAATGAAAAGAAATTTACCAGCAGCAGGAGTGATACAAACTAATCCAGTAATCATCCCCTGGACAGCACCAATTACAGAAGGTTTACCAAAGAAGACGATGTCGAGTATAAGCCATGTGAGTAAACTAGCTGCGGTACAAACATGAGTGTTCAAGACAGCCAAAGATGCATCCGTACTGGCCATGTAAGGGTCTCCACCATTGAACCCGGTCCAACCCATCCATAGGAGACCAGCACCAGCTAACATTAGGAGGATGTTGTTTGGTGGGAAATTTTGTCTGTCTTTGGTCATACGAGGACCAACCTGAAGATTGTTTTTAAGAAGTATACAAATGAAATGATCGGGTTAAGAACTAAAAATCGAATTTTAAAAAAATGATAGAGACAGTAAAAATATCGAATTTAAAACAGTAAAAAATATCCAGACCACGTCTTGTAGTACACAGAATAAGTTACTAATTTAATTAATTCTTGCCAATATGCATGCATGAAACTACTACATTTTGGGGCTTATTGTTGTTTGGTGTCGCTGCATGATTACGTTTTAATTTGATAGTTTCCGTCGTTTCTATTATTAGTCCTTCGAATAGATTAAGTTATGTAAGGGCACACTATTTATTTAATTTATTTTTTACTCAAACATGATTAAGTTCAGCAGCATAAAAAAATCATTAATTAGAAAACTAGCTTTTGATTCCCCCCGCCCCCACCAATTTATTAATCCCAAAAAATTACTATATTTTTGTAGCTAACTAAAATTTGGATTTGTCATTTCTTCTTTGTTCTCTTTTGGAATAAGTCGGCACTGTTTAAAGGGAGCAAGAGGATGAACGAGTCAAAATCGACTTCCATGATCTTAACTTTTAAGGCCAGCTTATGCCATATGTATGGACCAAAACAATTCCAACCATCTATGCACTTCATCCTAATATATATATATATATATATATATATATATATAGAAAAAGTTTTTTTTCGAATATAGGGAAAAAAAATTTTTAAACAATTTTATTAAAATAATTAAACTGATTTTTCTTGGACAGATACGAACAAGGTATATTATATAACCGAAGTTCTAAAAGCAACAAGAACAAACCATTTATGCAAGAATATTGTTTCACTACTAGATCAACCCGCGAAGTAGACCTTTTTTTTCTTTTTTCTTTTTTCCCTTAGTAAAAAAACTGATAGTTGAAAAAGCAAAAAGCAGATTGGTACTATAACAAATTAAGTGGCCTAGTGCATGAAACATTTATGAGAAGAAAGAATGAATAATTAGGGAAGAAATTTAAAATGAGTTTATTACTTACCCAATAAGCCGCTGTGAAACCAGCAATTCCAGAGGATAAATGGATAACATAACCACCAGAATAATCAATCATACCAGCAGTAGATAACCAGCCATTAAGTGACCAAATCGAGTAAGCTCCAACGGTGTAAGAAAACGTGAGCCAGAGAGGCACAAACAGCATCCACGCATAAAAATTCATCCTTCCCAAAAGGGCACCCGCGATCAAAACCAAAGTGATGGCCGCGAAAACAAACTGGAAAAAAACCATTGTCGCATTCGGGAAATTCCCCAAGAACGCCTGGCGCAACAAGTACTTCTGTTCCAGCGCGACATTAACTTTCCCCCATATGGGGATCAATTGGTCCCCGAAAGAGAGCTGGTATCCCCAACAAACCCAACAGATTAAAACACAGGCAAATGCATACAACGCCATGAAAGCCGAATTCACCGCCCATTTCTTCTTCACAGCCCCTCCGTACAAGATGATCAGCCCGGGGACGCTTTGTAACCCGACAAGCGTCGCGGCCGTGAGCTGCCACGCGTTGTCGCCCTTGTTCATCCAATCGGGGTTCCCGAGCGTGTCGGGCCTTAAGTTTATTGGAAGATAGTAATAAGGAGGGGGCGGCGTCGCCAGCTGACTCATCTTTATTTTGTTGATGATTTTTCGATCGTTCAGTTAAACTGCTCTATGATGCAAACAGGAATATAATAAGGTTATAATGTATGGAATGATTTGTGATCACAAAAGCTATTTGTTCATATATATGGGAAAAGAATTTCTAGTTGGTGAGATGATTCTTGTTGGAGAGAAAAAAAGGCTGTCCAATGATGATAGTATCTACCTAGCTAGCTTGATGGGGAAATTTGGCTTTGTTGGATTCTATATGAATCATATCGTTTGTATGTAGTAATTGCATGCTTTCATTTTATTTGAACAAGTGAAGGTCTTTTGGATTTATTGCATAATAGGGATTAATGAGATTCTTGGGGCATGACGAAAATCACAAGGCATGTTTCTTGGATGTTGGCACCTGACAGATTGTTCTGTTGATCAATTCAAGGGTTTCGATTTGTTTATTCGAGGGTGGAATTCCTGTTCGTATTTAAATTTCCTACAAATGGAGCATTTCTTGCTAGTATATACAGTGAATCACGCTTACGTATGTATAGTTTTTTGGACTTGACCTTAAAACTTGTTTTCGTCATTTATTTGAAAATTATTAATATACATTCATCCCAAAGTAACAATTCCATCTACTAGAGAAAATATCAACAAGAATAACTCTTCCTTTGAGACAAGAAATGATTTAGACTTACAAAAACTCCAGTGCCAATACGTGAAATGTGTCTTCTGGCAGAATAATGTCAATAAAAAAGGGAATTTTTTTCATAAAAATATATATGAAGAAGAAGAAGAAGTGACAATGTGAATCCAAAAAGGGAACACGAATATTGTTAACAATAGACATTTATGGTTCCAACCAAGTGTGGCAAGGCTACGATGGATGAGATCCGGTATCTCATTTGGGGCAGGGTGAAAATTCAGAGTGTAGAAGGAAAAGAAAAGAAATTCAACATAGAGAATTATGGTTATCATACATACATACAGATATATATATATATATATATATATACATACATACATACATACATATATATATATATATATATGGCTGACCTGATACCAAGTACTACTTTCTTCGATAAATTTCCTTGTTTGAATTCAATAGCGAATCACAAAACAAGTAGTTGAACTATTTGGTAATTTTGTCATAGGTCATTAATCAAATTCATTACCAAAATAGGCTACCGTACTAACCAAAAATTCATCAGAAATCATTATATTAATTTTGGCTATTAAATAGTGACAGAAAGGTATTTTCGACTATGTTTTGGATTCAGGGGTATTTTTTCATTTAGTATTTTTTAATTTTGTCATTTTTTAATTTTTTTAATTTTTTTACAATTCTTCTAATAATTATTAAATTTCAAAAATTAATTTACCTTTTGTATTTTATGTTTTGGATTATAAATTTTTTTTTCAAAATAAAGAAAATAATGAAGAAAAATTCCAATTGAAGTAAACATGAAAATTAATAGCTCACCATTTTAAACTAAAATATTGAGTTAGAAAAGTCGAAATTTGTAAATATTTATTGTTCCATATGTGGAGACGTTGAGGAGTCGAAATTTGTAAAATAATAATTGTTGTTCTTTTTTCATCTTATGGATAAGTCTTCTGCACTTATTTTTGTTTTTTTTTTTCACCTTAAATTAAGAAATCCGAGTACGATTGCTGTGATGTCCTAAAGACAAGCAAGCATCTCAATGAGAGCGAATACAAATGTCGTAACAACACACGGATAAGTGGCCTTTGTGGAGGAGGTTTTTTTAGTGGAGGTTTTGTTTTTGGGAAATGGAGGACTATGTCTTTGCAAAATAGAATCACATATATGATACTCCCTCCGTTTCATAATTATTGTCCAGTTTTACTAAAATGAAAGATTTTATTTTTGGTCAAACTTAACTATATTTTACCTTAAACAACCGGATATACCCCTACATAAGTAATTGTTTAACCACTAAGATTTTATGGATAATGTTTTTTACTAAGGACAAATGTATAACTTGATCCATAAAAAGTCAAATTGGACAATAATTTTGGGACAAATTTTTTTTGGCAAAGTGGACAATAATTTTGGAACGGAGGGAGTACAACATAATTATTGGAGGACTTATTTAACATAGGTGAAAAATTTGATGATGCGGACCTGTATTATAGAGTTCGTTCAAAGAAAGCTTCAAATGGATTCATCAACCTTCTCACTTCTACTCGATTTGTCTTCAACCAATGAAAAATAGGTACTGTGTTCACTAAGATAATTCAAGATCTTGGCCCCACAGCCTGAAGTCTTAAGTCTTAGTTGGTGCTTTGCTCCCATGTCTTTCCTTTTGTTGTTTAATTTTGCTTGCAAAACAAATACCTCTCTATCCCGATATAGAGAATTTTGCAATTTAAATTTTTACTTTTCATACAATTTTGAACTAAAATTAAAAATTTAAACTAGATAATTACTATATTTTAGAGACAGATTAGTACTCTTTATGTTCTGAAAAAATAATTGATATTGAGTTTTAAGATCTGTATTTATACTCCATTTGTACCGAAAAAAATAGTTTATATTAAGTACTTACAAATATCAAAAAAACAAAGTTCATATTAAGTTTTAAGATTTGTATCTATACTCCTTCCGTCCAAAAAATAAAAAATAAAAAATACAAACCTCCAATCTAAATTTAAACTTTTTTTTCTAACAAAACGAGTAAAAACAAGTAATAGTATGTTATACTAAGATGGAAACTGCGAATCTATATTTTAATGCAAGTACGCGCACTTGTAGACATGTGATTAATTACACATAAAAATTTACAACTTTGAATGAACGATTTTAACTGTGGTCACATGAGTGTCATGGAGAGAGTAGATTTATCCATGGTCACTTGATCAATAGTTCTTTTAGCATCAACCACCTTACCATCACGAATTTTATACATGATGATCAGGCAAGCTAAATAATCTTGTGCATAGATTGATTGCTCCCTGAAATGATATTTTGTTCAAAGATTCTAGTAATGTGCAAGATGTCCGAAGTTATTATATCCTTACAACGTTTATATTTGTCATTGAAAATTGGCATTAAACATTGATATCATCCCTTTCAGGAGCATAATCTTATTTAGAGATGTCTTACGCTTTAAACACGAACACGAAGGAAGGTAAGTATGTTCCAAGTTACAACAGGCTAAATGATCCTGGTTCTACCAAACTGGAGATGGTTGCATTTGCCCTCGATCCCAATATTATTATTATTATTATTTATTTTTTGCCTTTTGTTTTCATATATGGAGGAAGCCAGTGCTGCTACGTTTGGTTCCTTTTTTTTATTTTTTATTTTACATTTTTTATTAATGTTATCCTATTCCAGAATATATTTTTATACTTTCAATATATCTTTTTACATTATTTATAGAAAAAAATCTTAAAATACAAATTGAAAACGATCCAAACATAAGTTACACCCGACCCTTAAGGTTTTTCTAATCTTTAAATATACTGCTGTAAATACCACTAACATATTTAGGCGAAAAAACTTTGCAAAACTAAATTTTATCCAATAGTCATACCAAAACCTGTTGTTAACAAGTAACACCAGCACAATTCTACCGCACCGTTTCTTCATCTTGTTGCATCAATAACTTGAAGGACTTCTAAGCAATCCCTTTTATTAAGTTGGACGACTTTCTTCAGTTAATTACATTTGCCACAAATTCCATGGACTTGGATCAATCCATAAAAGCATGCATAAAGCATAGTTATCTCCATTAAAAGATTAATCTGTGCCTATTGGGATTAATTCCCTTGAGCCATTTGGAGTTTCATACTCTTACGTACCTCCAGGACGGAGATATTGTCACTCCTCTCATTAACAATCTTTTGCAAATTGCGATTTCTTTCTAAGCAAGTTTTGTGATTTACTAAAATGTATGGATATGAAAGTTGGGAAAATTTACTTATTAGTAACTGAAAAAAAAAATGAAGAACAAAATATGTTTAGGGTTTAAATTGTGGCCAAAAATAGTTTTCTCGCGCTTCAGAAACGCGAAAAAATCAAAACCCGCGTTTTGAAAACGCTAAAAACACAAAATCGCGTTTTCAAAACGCGAATGTATGCTTTTCGCGTTTCTGAAACGCGAAAAAGAAGGAGAAAAAATTAATTTAACATAATCCTAATTAATTAACTTGAATCAATAAGATTTCGCGTTTTGAAAACGCGAAATCAATTAAAAAAACATTTTATTTAATAAAAAAAGAAATAGGCATAAAAAAATGATTAATTTGACTAGTTTAAAACGTTATAGGGAAATTGACTTCAAAAAATTATTAAATTTGAATAATGGTAACAGAAAATTTGAAAATTATAACTGTTAATCATTAAATTTTGAATAGAGCTATAAAGAGAAAAATTATATTGATAATTTTAATAATACGAAAATTAAATTTTGAATAAGAATATAATATTATAATTGATACTCATTAAATAAAATAGAGCTATACTAAATATAAATTATTAAAAGTATGATATAGTTATTATAATGTATTAATTTTTTAAAACATTATATAAAAAAAATTAATAATGATTATATTAAAAATTTGTATTAAAAATGTAATCATTATTTTAAAAAATAATTTTATATAAAAAATTTTCAATAATGATAATGACGTAATTTTATGGATTTAATGAGATGTAATTTAATTTACAAATTAATTTTATTAATTATGATGGTTTTAATATAAGAAAAAAGCTTAAAATAAGAATAAATTTTATTAAATATTTATTTTAATTTACCAACACTTAAGATGAAGCAACTATTAATTATGAAAAAAATATAAGAAAGTTTAAATATGTGTTTCGATTTGATCGGCGAAGATGTGTTTTATAAATATTAATTATTGTATTTACGATGCGGTGAAATCAAACTATTAAGAATATTAATACAAGTCATAACAAAATACTACAAGTCATAACAAAAGGTAAAAAAATAAAACAAGTCATAACAAAAGGAAAGAAAACGAAATGAACAAAAGGGAAAAAAATACAAGTCTAATAATACTACATAAGAAGTCTAGTACCCTACTTCTTCTTGGGCTTTTAGCCCGAAAAGGCTATAAGTCAATCTATCGGGCTCCTTCGTCACTCTCGGCCTTTACTCACACCCAACGGTGGAGTCCCTAGAGTCGACTCGATCCCCGCTCCTCATGGCGCCGATAACCCCGACCTCAAACCGATCATCCCAGTGCAGTATCCTCGGCCTCATCCTCATCCTCATCCTCGGCCTCATCCTCGGCCTCATCCTCACCCCGACTCACGCTCACCTCAGTGGGTTATCACTGATGTCGACCCGCAACACCTCGAACATACTCGAAAGAAAGTTACTCGTGTAATGTATCAACTGGCCATCTAGCGAACTCTGCTGAAACCCAGAAAAGTCAATAAAAGAATCTCCAAACTGACGCTGAGAAGTCTGAGGGGAGGAAAACTGAGTGAAGGAAAAATTGATTCTTGGTCTTTGGGAGACATAATCGGACGGTAAAACGCACGATGGGTCGGCGAAGAATGATGTGGAGACTGATGGGATGAATGATGTGGAGACTGATGGGCTGAATGCTGTCGAGAATGGAGTGGAGACTGATGTGGAGACTGATGGGATGAACCGCCAGTGAAGGGAATATGAGACTGCTCATGCTGGGAGGACTGATGTGGCTGAGATGTTGTGATTGTCTCTTGCCCCCCACGCCCACGCTGAGACCTGCGCGAACGCCTCGGAGGTCTGGGTGGTGGATGTTGCTGGGTCGGGTCTACAGGTGCAAGTTCTTGACTCAAAATGTCATGAACCTCAACATGCCTATCGAGATCGTGCCGTACAACATTTGTTGCATTGACGGACAACGCCCGCTCAGCAACCTGGGCAATCTCGCCTAAGCGATCATAACCAAAGGAGTCCGCGTCGAAAGTACGCTGGCCTATAATACTCAGACTACGAACATCCTCCATCAATGTGGCCTGAAATTTTTATTAGAAAGAATCATAAATCGACAACAGTGTTAATAAAAAGAACTAAATGGAGTGTAGGCGAAATACTCACCATGAGGCGCAAGGTCTCTGCAGAACCGTGAAAACCCCTCGCATTTTCAGAGTCCGTCGGATCCGTAACATACTTCACAGTAACCTGATGGTACCACAAGAGATACTCCGGATCTGCGGAAGGCTCGCCAACATAAAGATCATCAGTCCCCACAACTTAGCCGTGGCGATCATTCCAAACCTGGAGATATATCCCTAGTTGTTGTAACCATCTCCTATCGGATCCTCCAAACGGCTTCCTCTTGAGCAGGCTAGTAATTTCCGCCGCAGTGAGAAGTAATGCGTCGCGGTATCCGCCGGTGATAACCAAATTGGCGAAATACCCTACTGGGGTTGTGTGGCGCAACGACATCACCGCAGATAAGCCATGTCTGAGATCGCCATATGCCCTGTCCCACAAGACAAACCCTGGCAATACGACCCAAAAGAGTCGTGTACGGCATCCAGACAAACTGCAATGGTAATTAAGTAAGAGACGTGTAATTAAAAGTTCGACACCGTTAAAAAAAACGAATAAAACATAAGTTATACTAATTGAATAGAATACTAACATCAGACTCTGCGAGAACTGCAAGCTGATCCCGATACGCGGCCAAATTGAACCGCGTGATACCTTGAACTTTTTTCTCGCGGGACCACCTGCACGGAGAAAGTAACATTAAATTGAGACATGACAGTACAAATTAAAATGTCAAAATTTACAAAGGTTTGATGTATAAGATTACCTCGTGCCCAATGGACAATCAGATAGATCGAGATCCCTACCAAGATCTTGGGTGAACCGTCAAAATCCGCTCCCAGGCCCAGAGCTAATTCAGAATGAAGAAATCATTAGCTAAAATCACCAATAATAATGGGAGAATATAAAATGAAACTAGAGAGAAATGAAAAGATAAAATACCTGAAGAAGAATCACACAGCCGGTAATAGCCTTGGCAGAAGCGGCGAGAGAAGACTGGACATCTTTGCGGTACAAGTAACATAGTGCCGCACTACCCCAACTGTACTCCGAGCAAATCTCGGGAGTATGAAGAAAATGCACAAGATCGAGAGGAAAACTGTTTCTCGTAGTGTTTGAGAACAGTAATCCGCCAACGAGCCATCCAACAAAACAACGGGCTCGCTGTAGGTGTGCATCGTCAGGGGACAGGTCCGTCAAAGGATTATTCTCTATGTGAGTCTTTATTTCAGTGATGGAAACACTCGTCAATCTAGACTCCTCTGTCTGGAACCTAAATCCAAACATCCTCTCCAAATAGGCTGCCCAACCACCATCAGGCGTGGTGTGATGTCCTGTAACTGGACGTCCATCAACCCGAAGGCCCAAAAGAACCTCGACGTCCTGGAGTGTGATAGTCACCTCCCCAAAAGGTAAATGAAATGTATGGGTCTCTGGGCGCCATCGCTCCACAAGAGCTGTAAGCAGGGCATGGTCACATCTGATAGACCCAACTCTAGAGAACGGTCCAAAACCAAATTTCTCAATATATTCCTTTGTCAACCTCGGTGCATCTTTTATTAATTTCCACGCGGCGCTATCTACGCACCTGGGCTCCGAAATCCCTATATCATACTGTGCACCATGGAATATATTGTGTGACCTATGGGCGTTTTGGAGAAACAACAAACTACTGTCTCTGGGTCCCTGCCGTAGCTTCTTTGAGGTAGATTGGGAGGAAGAAGATGATCCAATGTCCATGGCTAGTACAATTTACAAATAGTTTTAGTAAGTACGGATTAATATTATTATTCTTTTTTATTCTAATCTAATTGTTCTTTTATTAAATATTTTAAACCTACATTTTAGTAAATACAGATTAATATTATTATTCTAATCTAATTATTCTTTTATTATATATTTTAACCCTACATTTTAGTAAATACAGATTAATATTATTATTCTAATCTAATTATTCTTTTATTAAATATTTTAACCCTACATTTTAGTAAATACGGATTAATATTATTATTCCGGCAACTAATTATCCTATACATTAAAAATTCCAACCCTACATTTTAGTAAATACAGATTAATATTATTATTTTTTTCTAATTATCCTATACATTAAAAATTTCAACCCTACATTTTAGTAAATACGGATTAATATTATTATTCCGGCAACTAATTATCCTATACATTAAAAATTCCAACCCTACATTTTAGTAAATACGGATTAATATTATTATTCTTTTCTAATTATCCTATACATTAAAAATTTCAACCCTATATTTTAGTAAATATAGATTAATATTATTATTCTAATCTAATTATCCTATACATTAAAAATTTCAACACTAAATTTTATTATCCTAAACCCACTCCTCTAAACCCAACCCAATCCCAACCCAAAACCCACTCCTCTAAACCCAACCCAATCCCCAACCCAAAACCCACTCCTCTAAACCCAACCCAATCTTCAACCCAAAACCCACATTCTAAACCCAACCCAATCCCCCAAACCCTAAAATCCCTAAGCCCAACACCCCAACAAACCCTAAACTCCCCCAAACCCTAAACTCCCTAAGCTCTTCCTTCCCCCGCCGCCCCCTCCCCTTCCTTCCCCCGCCGCCCGCCGCCCCCTCCCATTCCTTCCCCCGCCGCCCGCCGCCCCCTCCCCCTTCCTTCGCCCCGCCCGCCGCCCGCCCCTCTCCTTCCTTCCCGCCGCCCGCCTCCCCCTCCCCTTCCTCCCCCCGCCGCCCGCCCCCTCTCCTTCCTTCCCCGCCGCCCGCCTCCCCCTCCCCTTCCTTCCCCCGCCGCCCCCCTCCTCTATACAACAAAAAATGAACACAAAATATAACGGAGTATACAACAAAAAATGAACACAAAATTCCACAATTACAACACCTATAATACTAGATCTATTAACGGAGTATTAAATCGCTAAATAAAATTACAAATAAAACGAACACAAAATATATGAATCGAAAATTAAAAAAAACGATTCAATGAGAGCAAAAATTGCAACTTACCTCGATATATAGCCTAAAAACTGCAAAAAATTGATGCCGAAACTCGATTCCGGCAACTTTCCCGAAAAAATCGCCGGTTTCAATGGAGTACGCCGGATATATGGTTCTGTTTGAGAAACATCAACCCGAAACGCGAAAAATTTATTTAAGCCCCCATTTTCGCGTTTCCGAAACGCGAATCGGATTAAAACCCAAAACTCGCGTTTCAGAAACGCGAAACGTCTCCTCTCCCTTATTTCGCGTTTCAGAAACGCGAAAACAATGTCCACCTTGTCTTGTTTCGCGTTTCAGAAACGCGATTATTGGGGTATAACTAAAAAAAAAACGTCTGATTTTTAGGCCGGATATATGGTTCTGTTTATTGCGGTGATAAATAAACAAATAATTAATTTTCTTACCCTTTATTGTTTATTACATAATTAGTGCTTTATTCGACATGTATATATCATATCACTCTACCACTATAGTAATAATTAGTAATATTACTAAAATGAACAGTGACGTTTTTTTTTTCAAAAATAATACTAATATAAATTACAGAAACATCTAAACCAACACACTAACACAAATACAAACGCAAACTGATTCATCCTCTGAGGTTTACTACATGAATGTTCAAAACAACACAAAAATACGAACACTAACAGAATCACCACAACAGACGATGAGGAAAATCATCACTACGCATCATCATCATCATCAGAATCGATATTAGGCACACCATGAATTCCATATGGATCGTACAGTTTATCAATAGCGGTCCTGTCAGCAGGTGGATGAGAAAAAGGGCATTCCACAGCATCATGATCTAAACTTCCACATCGTGCGCAAACTCTCGCATATGGGCAAGCCCTGGCATTATGGCCTTGTAGCTTACATAAACTGCAAGTTTGGAGTCTTCGCTGGCCAGATTTGCTTGTATAATCCATCACACCTTTTTTCCGATTCACACGCTTCCGACCTCGGCGGCATGGTGGACAAGTTTAGTGTCATCGGCCCGATCTCGCCACGTTGCCTTTGGCCATGGTTCCATGATTGGGTTGAATTCTCCAAAACTGTTGGTACCATTGATGCGTAGTGTAACATGGATCAAAAGTGGGAAGGGATCGTCACCTAGCTCACGGGCAACTCGAAGTGCATGGGAACAAGGAAATCGAAAGTCTCGCCACCTTCCGCAAGTGCACTCTCGATTTGCATACAACACAACTTGCTTCTCGTCGCCTTCCATGGTTGATTATCAGTGCTATTGTAACCACTTCGTACTTCGGTTTCTCTTGCTAAACCGGTTGACCTTTTGCCTCAATGATTTCTTCCGGCCTCTTCATACGGTTTCATTGGAGTAGGAGGTAGAACAGTCGACATTTTGGATCATATCAATGTTTGCTCAAAGCATTGTTGCTTTTCGAAATGATGCTAGGATCAATCTTTGTGATCGGGAAGAATCTAGACCCTTTCAAGACATTATTGAAACTCTCGAGATGTTAGTGGTCATTTCTCCCCAACGATGCCCTCCATCGTGTAAACATGTCCATTTCTCAACACCCGACTTCAAGCCAACGAGCAGCAGGCTCATTTTTTCTTCTAATTTTTGCCACTCGCCAAGAACCTTGTCTTTTGCGTCTGAACCAATCATTTGACAGCTTGCCTCGCAGTTTCTCCTTTCGAAAATGCCCAACCAAGTTTGCTTTAACATGCTCTAGACAATAACGGTGGACGGCCATCTCTGGGAATTTTGCAACATGATGTCCATGGCGTAAGGATACCCCGATTTCGATCGGAGATAATACAGTCTTCCTATCCGTAGAACAAACTTTTCAAATACTTCAAAACCATTTCCAGTGTGTATAGTCTCTTCGTCCACAAGAGCAAATGCGATGGGAACAATCGTGCCATTTGCGCACTTTACGCATGCCACAATTAGTTTTCCTTTGTAGGATCCT